CGGTTTTTGAGCGATTTTGGGTCATTCTGGGATGTTCTGGAAGATTCTAAACAACTTACACGCCCCATGAAGTGGTTCAATGAATCTAGATACTTGGAAAAGCTTTTGGATGAAGTGGTGTGTCTCTTGAAGTGAAGTGGTATGTCTCTTAGAGTGAATAAGTGTGCCTCTTGAAATGAATAGATGTTTTGTCTCTTTAAAAAGAGGGGTTAGGCGCCTCTCATGAGGAGTCTAGAGGGGAATTTTTAGAGAGATTTTTTGCATGAATGAGGAGGAATGCTTGGAGATCTTAGAATATGAGTAGAAATGTATATTTCTACCTTTTTTAGAAATATTAGAGAGATAATTTTGAGAGAATTTGTAAGAGAGATAATTTTGAGAGAAATTGTACTAGCATTGCATAGATTAGCGAGAGACTTTGTGGAAGAGATCTTCATCTTTTTTTTAAGAGAAAAAACTAAGTATTGCGTTCTTCATTATCTTATGATTTTGTAAACACTTATCTAGTGGAATTGTTTTGATGTAATGAAGTTTTCTGTTGTGTTTTCTTCGTGTTTTGTGAGTAATTTTTCTTACTCTTTCTTTTTGTTAGAAAATAGTGACATTAGTAGATTATGTCGTTTTCATTTTACTTTTCTTTTGCAATGAGTAGAATTTATGTTTAGAATTTTGGGATGCATGTTAGAATAAATTTTGATTATAAATGTGATGATTTTTACTTGAACTTCATTTACATTACAAAAATGGTTTGTTGTAATGTTAAAATTCGTTGTAATCGCATTAATATCCGAGAGAGCGGTGTAGCTCTCAACAAAGTGAAATCACATTTGATTTCATGGATGAAAATGCAGTCCATGGGATTGAGTGCAAATAAATAGGAAAATAAACTTTGATAGGCGCAGAATTGATGATTTTAGGGTGATAGACTAAAATCACCAATTTGATCCAGATGTTTGAAAACTAAAGCGAGATGTTAGCTCTCATGTGAGAGGAACGTGGGAACTCTAGAGTGAGCTAGAAACTTCTCAGCCTAACCACAGATTTAGGGATCAAATTCTGGATTAGTCAATATTCTTTGTTGCTCGTAAAGAGGATAAATAATAGGTATGATCCTATTTGGCACATTCAATATTTAATGTAAGTGAATGTAATATTAAGGAAATATTTGTATATGGGTGCAAATTGGCTCACATAGAAGCGAGGTAAGAAATCCCTTAGGCTAAATTCCTATCAAATTGGCTCCTACTATCATTGACTATATTGAATTTTATGTATCTCATTCCTAATATTATTCAATTCACTACACAAGAATATTAGTTTTTAACATCTAAAAATTTTTCAAACAAATTCATCCATAAAGGGTTATATTTAGAATGAATATTTTCATTTAAGAATAGTTATTGGTTGTTTTAAACTTAAGACTTACATTTGAGTACTTGTTAGAAAAACAACTTAAATCGACCTTCTAAACTAAGGACTGATATAGTAGACAAGAATTAGCCTAAGGGATTTCTTACCTCGCTTCTATGTGAGATCGATACTTGGATTTTTAAAGAAAATCATATATTACTTGAAACGATACACACACTTACGTGAAATCCCTAGTGTGAGAACTATTTTCTAAAAATTAGATCAAGTTTTTTGTCATATTTTGGAAGCTAAATTACTACATAATAGTGGGTCGAGTCAGTGCGCCTCAAGCATTTATGAGCCAACTTGCACTCAGGTGCACCTAAAAATTGTGCAATTTTAAAAGTGGGGATAAGAATAAGAATGAAAAAAATATGAACACGAGCTAAGAGAATTGCATTGATTTCATTTAAAAGCATGTGTAAGACTTTATTAAATAGAGAGGATAATCCAAGTTTTCTCATGGATAACAAACAAAAGTTTCTTAAATAGAGACACTACAAACAAATACAACAAGCTGTGATCTAAATATTTAAATAATACGTAACTCAGGAAGGAGCAATGACTGAATTGGTAAAACTAATGAAGCAATATGTGAAACTTCTTGGACAAGTGTAAGTGGATAAGCGAATAATATCAATGAACACTAGGCATCTTCAGCAGAAAATGAAATATTATTTATGATCATTTAAAAAGCAAATAATTTATTTAATACAACTCAATACCCCATCATACATATCTTCACTAATATCAACATTCATTTGACACAAGTATTTATACCTAAATGCACATTTAATCAATTCTCATGATACTTAATCATATAGCTTCTGAAAATCAATAAAAGTTAACAGAATATCATCTATTTGCTCTATTTATGTCTCTAATAATCATTTTATAAGAGAATAAAAAAAAAAAAAAAAACTTCCTGGCACAAAATAAACTTGAGTCTCCAAAATTGATAAAATTTTTGAAGGTTGTGTTTCTTTAACATTCTTTATTCTACAATAATCATCTTAACATAGAAAAATCTTCCATTGTAATTCTTCCTAGCATGAAACTAAATTGTCTCTCTAAAATTAATGTAAATTTTAAAGGCTACGTTCAATTACTCTCTCTCTGTCTTTCATAACTTTATTGTATAACTCAAAGTTTGATTGCTCATTAATTAGAGAATTCTTTAGCATCACCTTTGTTCTTAAATAATAATGCTTCTTCTACATTAAATAACATCCTCTTAAACATCAAAATCAATTGAAATTATTAATTAAATAAATCACTACAATATCTCACAACTCTCCAAATCTCAATAAGCTTCTCATTTAAGCCTAAAGTCCAATATTTATGCATCATTTTAAAAGCTGTTTTAACTCCACATTTTCGAATCAATCTATGATATATTTCATTATGTTTTCATATACTCTCCTAATTTAATTTCTTACTTGAAGCTTGTTCAGTAATTTATCAAAATTATATATCTACATTTTCTTGATAACTTCATATTTAGCCAAGATCCACAACTCTTCAAATCTAAATAAATATCTCATATAGACCTAAAATCTCACTTTTATGCATCAAAGCTAACTCCACTTATCTTTTTATATCAATCTATAATACACTTCATTATATTTTTCAATATACTCTTGTAAAATAATTTCTTCCTCGAAGCTTGTTTGAAAAATACTAAAAGTAATATTTTCACCTTTCCTTTATACCTTCATCTTTAACCAAGATCAAATTATCTTCATATTTAAAACAACTAATTTATCAAAATCCAGCAATATATTGTCTCATATATTTCATAAATCAGCTTTGTTCTTATTTAGTAACAAGCTATAATATAAATAAACTAAAAATTTATAGCTTGTATATTACTCACTACAATATTTGTTAGACTTCAAGAATTCTTATAATCATTATAAGCCACAATATTATTCATTTTTTGCACCATTTACTAATGCATTGTTTTTTCTTAATAACACTTTATACGTATAGTTCGATGAAGGGCTATTGATCGAAAAAAATATATAAAATAATCAACACGTCAAAAATAGATGAATAAGTTTTTTGTTTCTTCTTAAATGTAAATATAGTAGTTAATCTTTGATCATGCAATTGCACCTCTTAAATTTAGAAAGTATAACTAAGTGTATTCCATTTTAGCAGTGTACCCTCATATTTGTGGCATTTAAATTTTAAGCTAAACTTATGAACCTCTCATCATTTCGCCTCTCCTCCTTCACACTTGAAATCCTAAGCTAATATTAAAAGGTCCCGTCACCATGTAGCCGCATGCAGGTGCAGACAAATATATGGAACTTTCCTTGGATACCAACAGTACTTAAAAGCTAAAATTGCTACATTCTTAAGCAGAACTAATAACTGAAGAAATCCAAGTGAATCTGCCCTAACCCACACATAATATTTTTTACATGAATTTAAAATAGAAAAAAAATCAAGAAATATAGGGGCATAAGCCTCAAGTATGCTAAAGTAATTAAGAAAATAATGATTCTATTTCAGAAAAATAAATACCAAAAAAACATGATGTGCACATTGAGAAATGGAAATGTTAAAGGAAATGAAAAAAAAAAAAAATAGCAAAGGAATAAGTCATACCTCGATTTTATCCATGGAACGAAGTATGTCTTGCTCATCATACAACATATCCTCAACTGAAACTTTGCTCACTTTAACATAGTCGGACAAAAGCAGTCTGTATATAGCCTTTGTTGCATGAGTCATGAAAACTCTTCCCTTGAAAGTGGTCTGATACATGTTTCAAACAAATGCCATTCAGAGAAGAAAATTCAAAAAGGATTGAGGTTTCAACGAAACTACGAATACCTTCTCTAGGAAATATGGAAGGGATGCAGCATGATCAAGATGAAAGCTGAAAAGTAAAATAGAATACTGCAATTAAGTCATGTTTTCCTAATCTTTTAACAGCAAGAATGATAAAAAGAACTAACCTTCGAGCAGAGAAAAGTTATTGCTTATGGGGATACAATAAAAACAATAAAATTTTCTTACAAAAAAAATAAGAGAAGATACTAACCATACAACTTTGCGAATGTTTTTAAATCTCGGAATCAAGAATTTCGATACGTGGAAGCACGAGAGAAAGAGTTTCAGAGGAAAAAGTTTTCATACTGTGTAACGAGGAGTATATCAATGGTTGAAGGATCAATCTCGTCAAAATATGGAAGTGCGGCCATCCCGGAGTACGCTGGGTGTATTCCACAATCAAACTGCGAAGAAGGCAGTGCACTGCGGTCATGCAAAGCTCACGGAATCCCGTAAAGAGAGAAGGAAAAAAAATAGATATATATGTATAAATTCTTTTACCAAAACTGTCTTTCCTCTATATGACATATACACGCAGGAGCGCCCCACTTCATTACCGGCGCCCAACGGCGTTATGATTAACTGGTCTCCCTCCCTCGTCGGTGCCGAATCCTTTCTCTTCAAAGCCGAAGCCTGGGAGGTGACGCCGGAAGCCATTTAGCGAATTCCAAAATGAGATGCCTCGGCTCCAGGGGTACCTTCTGTAGTTCTGTAGTCTGAGGGAGGCACATTGAAAAGAAAATAAACAAACAGGCCTTGTAAGCATGTTCAAAATAGAGTGATAAAAGCGTAGGGTTGCTGAACAAAGAAATATGGCGGAGAAGTTTCAAGCTCTCTAAAAATTTGAGGGGAGATGCATGGAACGGAAGAGGAACTCACAAGGGAGCAGTTCCAAAACCGACAATTTACGTCTGCGGACAATCGATTACCCTGAAAACCCTACCCGGAAACCCTAGCAACAAGGGGAACGGGACGCTAGAAGCAACGCGGCCCAAAAGCTAACTCATGTTCGGCTCATCAAATTCATTTTGTTCAAATCAAGCTCTACTTCGAGCTAGAATTTTAATTCAAATAAAAATTCAAAAATCCACTCATTGCAATTTACATGTACGCGATTATTAAAATAAAGTAATTTCACATTTATAAGCATAGCTTGTAATTTTTCCTATATGTTGAATCCTATTCTTTTATTTTAATGGCTTGTTTTTTTTTCTATATTAAATCTTAATCTTTTGATTAATTTTTTTTCAACAATTTCAATCGTAATCATCCAATATTTAATGAAAAAATAATAATTAATTAATTCTATTATTAATTAATTCATTCATTCATATCTATTAAAGATCCATGACTTTTTAAATTCCTATCAATTTTTTTTACTATTTATTTTGGTATGAATATTAATTATTGAAATAATATTTAATTACATATAAATCTAATATGCATAATCATGAGAATATTAGAAAATAGTCATAATAGTATTTTAATATTGACTTATGATTTCTCCCATTAATTTAATTTTATAGTTTCTATCATAGCCATATAATATCTCATAAATAAATATAAATTATTAAATTATATTATAAACAAATGATAATGAGTATTTATTTTTTTCATTTTCCATACTTTTTAAAATTGCAACTTTTCAAAAATTTTAACTATTTCACTTATCATATTAATTAATAAATAAATGCTAATCATTAAATTAATATTTAATTAGATAGGTGTCTAAGAGTCATAATCATAATAATATTAGAAGAAATTTTATTTGATTTCATAATTTAAATAACAACCTTAAAAAATCGATTAAATAATATTAATTAATGAATTATATTTTTATTATTTAGTAAATAAATATTTATTATTTCATAATCCATAAAATTTAAATTCCAATCTACTAAAACTTTTAATATTTAAGTTTAGATATATTAAAAATTAAATTAAGTAAAGAACTAATTTTTAACTAGATAGAAGTTAATGAGGCATAATTTTAAATATTAGAGAGTATAAATACGATATTTACTGTAATAATCTTCAATTCTCTTAATTCTTAATTACTTTTTTTTCAATAGTGATCATTATATTTCTTTGGCATTGCCTTGAAGATACCCTTTATTTTCTTCTAAAATTTGATATTATTCTTTTATCATTACTATATTGAGTATTTAATTTATTAAAGTTTAATATTATCATCAATCTTTTTATCTTGCAGTAATTTTGTTATGTTTTTATTTAGACATTTTTCTTTTTTCTTTTTTTGTTCTTATTCTCAACTCAAATTTGAATCGAACATTTTATTATTTTAAGCATCAAATTATACATTCAATGCAACTTGAACTTTTACTATTATTATATTGAATTTTTTAATCAAATTAATAAATTAATTTTCTTATTTTTGATGCTTTAAAATACTATATCATTGATAATTATTTTGAACTTACATTATTTTGTTGAAAAGTTATTTTAAAAAAAAATATAGTGCAACTTAAAATAATAATAATAATAATAATAATAATAACAACAGGAACAACAACATTTTGATAATCTGACATGTAGCTTTAACATTTGTCACTTATTTTTAATATATAGATATTTTTTTTACAATAACTTGTATTAAAATTAGAATTTGATATGTATTTCAAAATATTTTCATTTTTATTTTATTTTATTTTAAATGAACTAATTAGTTCTTGGTTTAAATTTTTTAATGTTCATAGAGTTATTAGTACATAGTATAAAAGCTATTTATCTTAACTTCATTTCTTCTAAAATAATATGAAGTTCAATTAAGTATTAATTCAAATGTAAGAAAATAAAAAAATTAAATTAAATTTAAGATGTAATGATATGGTGTTAAACTCCTTTTGTAATCTTTTTACCCAACTCCTTAATCAAAGATGTATATGTTCTCATAAAAAAAAAAATAAACACACAAAAGATGTATATGTTCTCATAAATAAAAAAAAATAAACACACACACACACACACATAGATATATATATATATATATATATAATTTTATAGTATCCATATTATTTAGATTGTGATTATAATCAGTGTTTTAATTTTAAACTTTGTAATTATTTATAAATTTTGTCATAAAAGTAGGACAAACGCGTTTATTAAATTTTCAAATCTACAAGATGGGAGACGGAGGTGAGCAAAGCCCTACGAGAGGGAGATGAACGGCGGTGTGGTAAGGGTGATAAAAATTTAAAATTACTTTGTAATTTAGACTTTAATAAAAAATTCAAAAAAATCCTCAAAATTGAACCCTTGTTGCTTTGATGCCTTGAAAGGTAAATATTTTATTTTAACCTCATAATGCTTACTTAAATTTAAAAATTATTTATTATATTCAATAAAAATATATACTTTATTTTATCCATTAATATACTTTCTCGTCTAAATGAATAACCAAAGTGAAAAAAATGCCATATAGATGGTTGAAGTTTTCGTAAGAGGAGTTAAATAAGGATTATTGAAACCAATTAGATTTTAAGGTTTTAGTTTGATATGATCTTGATAAACTTCAAACTCAATAATGACCAATAAGTTGAATATATTTTCAGGTAAAATGATCTTAAACCTTATAAAATTAGCTTGTAAATAAAAGAATTTTTTGGGTTGGTATATCTCACTCAAACTTAGGGTAACTTTTGGTCAGTCAAACATATGAGTAAAAACTAGAGTGCTATCATCACAGTCTGTATCCAACATTAGCTAGTATGGCTAAACATTGATAATATTTGTCATAGAATGAACTTAAAGAACCCTAATGAATGAACAGAACATGGGTATTTAACTAATTTGATACCAACATACTCCATTGAATGAAATAGTGTCAAACACGACAACTTTGATATGAGTCATCAAAACAAAAATAATCCATTGGAAAAGGCTAATGTCTCATTTATGATTGGGTCTGATTGATATAAAAAAGTTGACTAATAATCTACTAATTTTATATAAAAAAAAAAGTTAATGGAACATACAAATATCTATTAGGACAATATTTTAATAGAAGAGGAGAGATGAGGCAAGACATCATCTTTTGAGTAGAAATGCTCAAGTCAAAATATTATCATAGACACTTGGTTTACACCAATCTGCAGGGTCAGGAAGCAATGAACTGCTTTCAGGTTTGTCACCGGAAGAAATAGAGAAATGTGACGGTTCCCTCCTTCTGTTAAATTGGGCAATTTCGCAACGGGGAACCATGAAGGCTGCCGCATGCAAGAGAAGAACCATACTTTCTCGGAGAAACAGTTGTAATCTGCACTCGGAAACATAGAGGTGTAAATTGGGAAGAACTCGCTCCAAGAGACATTGGCCCAAGATTTCCAGTAGGAGAAATGCCAAATAAAGTTCCATGAGATCTTTGAGGTCTAAGCCCACTTGAGCTTGAATATTCATATCATATGGGCCAGCAGGAGAGATATGTTTGCATATTATTCTTATTAACATCTCCGTAGCTTCCATAGCTACTTCCAATACCAAAGTTATCGATGAGGCTGCCATGACTTCCCATGCTACCATAACTACCTCCATGGGATAAAGACACCATCTGAAATTGAGGACCGAAACATCTGTTTTATTTTGTTTTATTTTTAATATTTTCAAAGGAATAAAAACAGAACAAAAACATTTTTGCCCTGCAGATTTCACAAACCCGCAAAACTGATAGTTTCTGATTTCCCCCACTTTCTTTTCACATTTGTAGTGGATTCTTGATGAATTTTTTCTGAATATTCCGATGTGGGATAAAACTATGAGCACAAGGCAGGTGAGGACCTTCAATTGCATGAGTTTGCCAAATTCTTACATATTTACATATGTGCAACAATGGCCCACCACCATCTGTGGGCCTCAGCAGAACTTTTGGGAAAAAGTTTTGATCCATTTATAATTCTTACGTATTTATATGTCTAACTTCTAAATTTATATATTTTTTCGTAATCTGAGTTGCAGCATGCCGCCCAATTTTTATCTATTTGCATTTTTAAATTCTAAATTTTATTTTAAACATTTATATAAGCCAAATCATTGATAACATATCAATGACATCATTGATTTAAATTTTCTATATTATATTATTTATTATTTAATTAGTTCCAGCCAAAAGGAGCCTAACAAGATCAACCATAATTTTGCTCGTGTTCGGCTCGTTTATAAATCGAGCTCAAAAATTTATTTGTGATTTACTCATTTAATTAACGAATCAATCAAATACGAGCTGTTTAACTAGTCGAATACGACTATTACACAAATGACAAATTTTTTTGAGAGCCACAATTTCATCCACTCATTCCAATTTATATGTATGAAATTATTAAAATAAAGTAATAAGCATAGATTGTAATTTTTTTCTATATATTTAAGCCTAATCTTCTATTGACTTTTATTTTTTCTATATTAAATCTTAATCTTTTATTTTAATTTGTTTAAAGAATTTCAATCATAATAATAAAATACTTAATAAATAAATAACGATTAATGAATTCTTTAATTAATTAATAATTATTCATGATCCATAACTTTTAAAATTCCCATCAAAATTTGTCACTATTTAATATTTCATTTTAATTAACAAATAAATTTTAATTAATCAAAATAATATTTTGTTACATATAAATCTAACATGCATAATCACGAGAATATTAGAAGATAGCCGCAATCGTATTTTAATATTGACTTATGATTTCTCCCATTAATTTAATTTCACAATTTCGATCATAGCCATACAATATCTGATAAATAAATATAAATTATTAAATTATATTATTAACAATTGACAATGAGTATTTATATTTTCATTCTCCATAATTTTTAAAATTGCAACTTTTCAAAATTTTAGACTATTTAATTATCTTATTAATTAATAAATAAATACTAATCAATGAATTAATATTTAATTAGATAGATGTCTAAGAGGCATAATCATAATAACATGAGAAGAAAAATTTATTACTATTTTAAAAAATAACTTATGATTTCTTCCATATT